AACAACATGAGACGATCGTTTAAAACAACCCGTTTAATAAATACAACCCTGGTTTCACATGACATGTGAAATAAGCACAAATAGAGAAGGTAACACTGGATAAGCAGGGAGATGATGACTATGAAAATCAAACTCATTGGGATTTATGGCTGATCTTGAGCTTCTGGTGCCCCGTGTGTCAGAAAGATGTGCACTGGAACTTGAGCATGTGGAGGGACGTTATGTTCGGCTATGAGGCCGGATTCTAACTATGGCAGCTGGATCGCTGGGTCAAAGTATGGAGAAGATGTGGAAAACGCTATGCTGATTGCTGCACTGATAGGGTAACAGCTTTTGGTGGAGGCAGCGTGGTGATGATGTGGAGCACCATCTCCCTCACTGGAAAAACAAGGCTTATCATCACTGGAGACAATCTCAATGTGGAAAGATATCGAGAGGAGATTCTACAACCAGTGTCAGTCCCATATCACCACAGACTGGGACCGGACTATGTCCTCCAGGATGACAACGCTCACTCCACAGAGTGAGGTTTTGCAGAGACTACCTCCAGAATTTTGGAGTAGAGAGTAGGGAATGGCCTGCCTGCAGTCCTGACCTCAACCTTATCGAACTCTTGTGGGGTCAGCTTTGGTGTGCTGTTCGTGCCAGACTGACCAACACAACCACATTAGCTGACTTGTGACAAATGCTGGTTGAAGAATGTGACGCCATCCCACAGTATTGGGTGACCAAGCTTGTGACCAGAATGGGGAAGAAATGTCATGGTTCAAAAAGATTTTTTTTGTCAAGTTTCACCTCAATCCAAAAATGCATTTTCCTTATAAATGTGGGACTATTTCAGGAGAAATAAACAAGCTTTCCAACAGTATGAGATTTATTGCAAAGTAGCACTGTTAGCACAAATCAAACACAAATTTCCTCACTTTTGTGCTGTTTGGATATTAATGATCGATGCATGTGTAACAATTTTCAAGCAAAGTTTCGTTCAGATTGGCCCAAGTTTTAAGGAGGAGGTAGGGTACAAACATACGCTGCAATCATTACAGTAAGAAGAAGACTGCATTTTCTGAGACAGCACTGATTTGCAGAATACATGTCACCTTACTCAAAGACTTAACTTTTTAAAATGGTAAATGGACTGGTATTTGGAGCAGTCACAAGGATTCTACACTACAAGGTGGGGAGAAGTTTGGGGTTCTCTGCCCTTTCCAAGAACTATTCAGTGTGTGGACTGCAGGAGCTGGGGAATGGAACGTCAAGCCAGTGTTTTTCATCTGTGGCAGCCTAACACAATAACAACATATTTACCGTCTACATTTTTAAATAGCTATTTTATTGAGGGCACTCAGCACATGCACTGCCTGAATAGCTCTTTTTCATGCTGAATCATTATGAAGGCTAGAATATGGAGAAACTGGCAGAACTGTACAGGCTGACTATGCAGATAAAGTTAGAGCAGGGTGCCAAAACCCCTTGAAATTAAAATGTGTTTGTGCCTACTAACTTTCTTGGACTATGTCAAACTTGTAGTTTAGACTAACAACTTGGCCAATTAAAAAGGGATTAATTAAGTAATTTAGAAGCAAATAAGCCTGAAATTTTATATTAAGAATCTGAAATTTCAGAATTTGACATTTTTCCTTTTCTCCATATTTGTGATGTCTCTCAATGCTCTGACATCTTTTTCACTGCCCCTCTGGTTCTGCCACAGATCTCTTCCTCCTCTTAAGTGCTTGCTCAAAGAGAAGAATCAGATGAGATCATTAGAGTTCTCGCTCTAAAATCAAAGCATCTTTAGCTTACTATGTAAAGCGCCCTTCGCTTCGGGTTTTGCATGTTTTGCATTGACGCCATTAAAAGCAAAAACAAAACAAGCTGAACGGAATTTAAATGAAAACCCTTCAAGTCGTTTTCCCCTTTCATCAGTATTCCTCTTGAATGAAACGGCAGTTGGCCACGCGCATCTGCCCGAACTACAGCAGTTCCACCACAGAGAGAGGTGATGCTAGCCTGCGGGCTCCAGCTGTCTGCCTAAAACACCAGAGTCACTGCCTTCTTCGCTTCTTGCTCTCCTAACATGAGATAATTGGTCTCAGGGTTGAGTGATTTATTTGGATAAGCTCCCCTTTCTTTGACTAAAATATCAAACTGTGGCACTTTTCATCTTAAACTAGCAAAGATTCTCTGATGTTGTTTCGAAGGAGGGCCATGACAACATAGACTACAAATATACTCTGTATAAATACAGAGCTGCTATTGCATAGAAATGTCTGAGAAGACAGCTGTGGGATCTTCCTGTCTTTTTAAAAAAAATAAAAAAAATTGGTATATATATATAGCTCTATGGGAATACCAGACATCAGTTGGAAAACAATACTCCCAGTGGTCCAATACTAAGCACAGCAATTTGCTTTGTTAATTCATGTTTGTTTTGAGATGTTTTGCACAGGAACTTTCCATCACTCCCACAGGGGCCTTACTGACATAACCTGGAGCCTGAACACTAGCTTAGAACTCTACAATGAAGATGTATGACCCAAGCAACTTGCTTGCATTTGCCATCTATAATATGACTAAAGCAGGGATGGGCAATTATTCATTTTCCCCAAGGGGCTATATTTAGGACAAAACTATAACATTTACTCTTACAAAGACATAAAATTAATATTGAGCAGGACTGAGTTCAGCTCACTGTTGCAGCCCTCCACAACTGTCCCAGTTTTTCATTTCATTTCTTTAGAAAATTAATTGCCCATCCTTGGCCCAGAGGGATAACGTTTAAGCAACACTTTCAAGGCTGTGACGCTACTTTCAATGACAACATATGCTGTCAAGAATATCATAGAGCAACGCTGCCAACACCCCACCTAGGGTAAAACTAACAAAACGAGTGCACTGCTGCGCAGGAGGTGAAGGTAATGTGACTCAACCTGTTTGCCAGAGCAGGCACAGACAGGAAGGGGGAAGTGAGAAACGGGAGGAAGTTTGTGAATCTCTGAGCACGGAAGTTGACAAACCTCAGTGTATCACCTGTAAAACACAGATGTAGCAAGTGGATGCAGTGCACGTGCAGAAATGGGGTCGAAAATGTTGGCTGAGAAGGAAAAAATTCTGAATGTTTGCACAACTGATTGCATGATACTCACGGTACTCACGGGGGGGGGGCTTGCTGGTGCAAGTACAGCATGTTCATAAAGGCAAAGGAATGCCAGCCGGGACATGTGAGCAAACCTTCCTGGTATTTCTTTCTCCTGGCCAAGACAAATGCTTTCCTGTGGCCTTCGCAACTCGGGTACTTCCACAGAAAATAGAGTTGGCTCCAGAAACTTTGCGAAGGTTAACCTGGAGCCGCTGGTAAAAGCTATGTCTGTGTAGTCAGTGATACTAAAAATATCCACGTTTCAATCTGTACCAGAACTGAAACCGGAGTGTAATTGTGTTATGTTACGATAACTATTAATAACTTTTTTCATCATCTGAGGCAAAATAGAAAAAGGTGAAGATTAAACCTACATGGGATTTCTATCAAACAAAGCCAGGGGTTATCTTGCACAATGTTCCCTTGCTAGAGGGTCAGCAGGCTTTAACTGTAGTTCAGGCACAGGCGCCCACTCATGTGTAAGTGCTTTATTTAGAGCTTGAGGAAAGCAGCAATAAGTGAGCATGTCATAACAGCTTTGAGCTTCAATGTCCCTTTTTATATATAACTGGCAAAGAGTAAAAATACACACATAGCTGGAAAGCTTATCGTTGGGTCTTGAGCTGCACAAGCTGCTGCTCCTTCCACTAACAGTGTGTGGATAAAAATTCTATGCTTTCGTCATAGTCACAGAGAGGCTTATGGGTTCTGTCACCAGCCTGTTTCATGAAAAGTGAGGAAAGGAGGTGAGCTTGTTGTAGAATAGCCTTTGCTTGGGATGCAGTGATGTAATACTTCAATTTCCTTCTGCTTTACACGGTTGAGTGTGCTGAAAGGCAGCAGCCTAGTCAAAACACCACCATAATTAAAGCCTAACCCATGATAAACACCTACAAAGAATGTCCAATTTAAAGACTTGTCTAGCATTAAAAACAAACAGTTGTAGCAATGCTGACTGCTGCAACTGTGAAAGGTACACTCAACAGCTTTACGCATGCATTAAGGTGCTCAGTAAATAACATGTAACCAGAGTGATCCACACTGAAGTTTGGGCGCAAATCCTCATTCGAATTCTCGCCATTTAAAGGCGCCGCACTTCGGTGCGTGTGTTCGTGTCGAGGGAAACGTGACATAACGAGTCGATTTAAACCACGGATAAATTCGGAAAACATCTAAGCCATCTACCGAAAGTGATATTAACGCTGTTTAGACTAAATAGTTCCTTTCTCTGCTAGCCCAGTGGACAACTGCTACCAACAACAAAGTGGGGCTTCCGGTGGCAAGCATTAGGAAGCAAATAATAAACCCTTAAATTTACCACATTAAATTCCAGCTTGTCGAGTTGGGTGCACGCCGAATTAAAGGTACTTAAGGGCTGACTGTGAACAAGGCGTTGCTCTCACACGAAACGCTTTGTCATGTTGCGGTTAAGCGAAGAAGAGTCAAATCGCACGGTATGCTAACTGTGTTCGGAGCGCGAGGAGACAGCCGCGGGGATGGATGGACGGGGGAGTTGTTGTAGTAGTGCTGGTGGTGGGGCGACACCACCGAAGCACATGACAAACGCAGTGTCACAGTGTGATGACAGGGATGCTAACACGGCTCTCACTCCGTCGCTGTCTTCTAAAGTTACTCAGGAACTACATTCCGAGCATATTTTCGCTTCAGCTTTTGTTACGCGCCGTAAAGGCGTCGACGTGTGAAACATGTTTACTATCGCTAAACCACACGAGCTGCAGTCCACATAAAATGCAAATAGTGTCGTATCCCCCGCGTGTATGCCACTGTCTTTACACTTGCTTTCTTTTACGTGTATGTGTTTGTTTCCCTGTGAATTTTACAACCTTGACTGTGCACATACCCTTCTCCGGTTAGACTGTGTCAAATGCATCCACAGCTGTGCCTTGTACTGGATGAAACAAAGTGTCAGTCTTCTTTTAGTAGTGGTCACCGGTGGTCGTCAGCAGCATCGAAGATAACGCCTTCTTCCCCCTTTATGGTTCGCAGTTGCTGTAATCACCAAAGTGTCTCCGTTACGAAAAAAGGAAAGAAAACAAAAAAGGGAAAAAAAAGAAAAACGTGTCGGTGCTTCCTGATTTAGGTACAGTGGTAGTGATGATGTTGTTTGTTAAGGGGTGGGGCGGCGTGCAGCTGTAATCCGCCAAGAAATATGGACTAAAAAGCACGCTGGTGCACGTCTGTGCATGATTAGTGACTCGTGGTTCACGGTGGGGAGGGTTAAATAAACGTGATTTTAAAGTGGATCTCACGAGCACAGAAAACAGACGGCTGTAGGATTTGCGCACTCTGAGAGCAAGCTTTACAGCCAGCAGGGTCAACGATTGCACAATACAGACAGGCAGTCAGGTTCATGCCTCGCTCAAAGCCTCCAACAGGTTAATTAACAGGGTTTCCCTCCCTCGATCGCTTTGGCGCAATTCTCATATCACAAATGTCGATCTTACCACTGCAAATGCAGTTCTCAAATCAGTAATGCATTGCCTCACCCACGCTAGACATTCTTGTTGTTTTTACACAGCTGTGGTTTCTACACATAATTTACTACTATAGATATTTGTTGCTGTGTTTATGCACTTCTTACTTAAATCTGACAACTCATCAAAAAAGTTTGTACTTTTGTCAGTCACAGCTCTTACTTGCTTTCCTGAATAATTCCCAGCATTGCTGATAGTGTTTTTAATAAAAATTTCAAAGACCAGTGTGGTCTTCTGCTGCTGTAGCCCATCTGCTTCAAGATCAGATGTGTTGTGGCTGTTTCTACCTTGAACCTTTGTAACCAGGGGTTATTTGAGTTACTGTTGCTTTCCCATCAGCTCGAAGTAGTCTGGCCATTCTCTTCTGACATCAACAAGGTATTTTCACCCGGAGAACTGCTGTTCACTCTCATTTTAGACCATTCTCTGTAAACCCTGGAGATGATTGTGTGGGAAAATCCCAATACATCAACATCTGAATTATTCACATCATACAGCAACCGTGCCCAGTTCAGTCGTCTTTCTTAATTAATTGCTCGGTTTGAATTTCAGCAGGCTGTCTTGATCATGTCTACATGCCTAAATGTTTTGAGTTGCTGCTGATGTGAAAGGATGATTCGATATTTGGATTAATGTAATGAGCAGTTGAACAGGCGTACATAATAAAGTGGTTGCTGTATGTATGTAGTGTGACTTTACAGGACTATACAGTAGTTGGTACTTTGTTTAAAGATGGTGTATGTGTTCTTTGTCTGTTTTCTGATGCATTATATAAAAAAAACACCCAGCACGCCCCTGCGGGCGGTTTATCCTTCAAGCTCGGGTCCTCTACCAGAGGCCTGGGAGCTTGAGGGTCCTGC